TAGTGTGGTGAGAATTCAGGTTGTCGTGTAGTAGGGTTTTGTGCAGATTTCAGTGTGGATCAAATGGTTAGTGAGTTCCAAGTAGTGTGGTGAGAATTCAGGTAGTCATGTAGTAGGGTTGTGGTGTGGAGAGTGAAGAATTCAGCGACAAGTGGTGCTGAGTGCAGTGTGGTGTAGTGTGCAGTGTGGTGAGAGGTGAATTAGAAAGAATTTTTTTTTCCAGATATGGGAGATAACAGTGAAAACAAAACTAGTGCGGTGGTTCCCACCGACTACCTGAATGTTCAGATGGCTTCTATCAAATTGAATGGGGAAAACTATGTGCCTTGGGCGAAATCTGTAGAGGTCTTTCTTAAAGCTAAGAAGAAAGTGAAGCATATAAGGGAAGAAAAACCCTCTACTGAGTCTCATGAGTATGGTGATTGGGATCAAGAGGATGCACATATTATAACGTAGTTATGAAATAGTATGAAACCCAAGATCAGTATGAATTTCAGGTTCCTTGATACGGCCAAGGAGGTTTGGGACCATGCCAAGAAGCTGTATTCTTGATAAGACAACACAACTAGAGTGTATCAACTTTATCAGGAATACTTTAATCTGCAATAGGGTAAACAAAGTCTTGAGGAGTACTATGCTTGCATGAGAAACCTTCACAATGAGCTGAACATGTACCATCCCCTCACCTCTGATGTTAAAATTCAGCAACAACAAAGAGAACAACTAGATGTGACCAGATTTTTGGTAGGACTGAAACCTGAATATGAACCAGTGGGCACAAATACTAGGAGGGTCAGCTCTTCCATCTTTAGAAGTGGTGTTTGCTTGTCTTCGGAGGATCTCTATTGGACCTACAGAGAATTCTAGTATCTCTGACAGGTCGACCTTTGCAGTGTCAAGAGGGGGAGGCCGTGGTGTTAGAGGTGGAGCTTGGGGAGCTCAATTTGGCCGTAGTGGTAGTAGTGGATGTATGGTTGTAGTGGTGGTGGTGGACCTATGTATAGTCGTGGTGGTGGATGTATTGGAGGTCGAGATTCAGGGGGAGTTCATGGTAGAGGATGTAGTTCTAGTCCAAAAAGATGTATGCACTGTGGTATGGAAGGACATACCATCGATTATTGTTATGATTCGCATGACCCACCTTCAACTTGGGCAAATCATGCGGTGACCAGTGATAGTAGTTCCAGACAGGAGGGTCATCCAGCTGATCAGATGCCCTCTATATCTACAGATGTTCCCGAGAAKGAGATGATGAGTGTTCCACGTGATGAGTATGAGAGGTTTGTCCATGCCACATCTCAACAGAATACAACCACTCTTGCACACTCAAGTATGGCTTGTCTGGCATCCAAACCCAACCCTTGGATTATTGACTCTGGAGCCTCCGATTACATGACAGGAACTCCAGGTGTGTTTTCCTCCCTTTCTCAGTGCCCAACATCATACTCTGTTACCCTTGCTAATGGTTCAACATCTTTCATTTGTGGTGTTGTTAATATTAACATAGACCCTTTATCTTTATCCTCAATTTTGTATGTTCCCAAGTTTCCTTTTAACCTTATGTCTGTTAGTAAGTTGACCAAGTCCCTTAATTGCTCTATCACTTTTTACCCTTCTTCTTGTGTTTTTCAGGATCTCAAGACGGGGATGAAGATTAGTGGAGGGCATGAAGCTGGTGGACTGTATTATCTTCATGGTGGTGGCAATGCATCAACAATTCTTTAGATATCTCTTTCTCCTCTTTAGTGGAACTGTAGACTTGGTCATCCATCGCTTAAAGCAGTGAAGTCACTTGTTCTGTCGTTGAGTAATCTTTCTGTTTTGGATTGTGAGTCGTGTCAGTTGGGGAAATATCATCATGTTCCCTTTAGTCCTAGGGTTGATAATTGTATGTCGAGTCATTTTTCTTTAGTTCATTCAGATGTTTGGGGTCCAAATAAAATAATGTCATACAATGGTTATAGATACTTTATTATTTTTGTTGATGATTATTCAAGGATGACGTGGCTTTACCTAATGAAAGAAAAGAGTGAATTGTTTTCCTTTTTCCAAAAATTTTATGCTGAAATTTGCAACCAATTTGGTGTACACATTAAGATTCTCCGTTCTGATAATGGCCGTGAATACTTTTATACAGCATTTCAGGAGTATTTGGAACAACATGGCATTATCCATTAGACTTCATGTTTCTACACCCTACAACAAAATGGGGTAGTTGAGAGAAAGAACCGTCACCTTTTGGAAGCTGCTCGATCCCTTATGCACCATATGAATGTATCCAAACCTTTTTGGAGTGATGCTGTGCTTACATCTTGCTTTCTGATTAATTAGATGCCCACACCCATCCTTGAAGGTCATTCTCCCTTCACCACTTTGTTTCCTACCTTGCCTCTGTTTCCCCTTACTCCTTGGGTTTTTGGGTGTGTCTGTTTTGTTCATAATTTTGGATCGGAAGGGACTAGTTAGATGCACGATCCATTAAGTGTATATTCCTTGGCTATTCCTGAACCCAGAAAGGGTATAAGTGTTATAACCCTAGCTCCCAATGTTCCTTTGTATGTGCTGATGTTACTTTCTTTGAGTCCACTCCGTTTTTCTCGGGGTCAAGTGATGTTTCTTCTTCCTCACCACCTCCTCTTCCAGCCCCTATTGAGGACCCCATTCCACTTGTCTCGGCTGTGACCAAGTCTTTGCCTCCGGTGCAACTTCCTGTTGAACGGCCACCTATTCGTCAAGTGTATACACATTGACAACATGTACTGGCTCCTCCAACTTCATCACTGTCGACAGATCCAACAGTTGTTCCCACACCAGCTACAACCCCAGTTTCTGATCTTGATCTTTCGATTGCCTTGCGGAAAGGTAAACGCAGTTGCACTCTTCATCCTATTTCTAATTATGTTTCTGTTACTCATCTTTCTGCTTCCTATCGCCAATTTATCTCCTTGTTATCTTCTATTACTGTTCCTACGGATGTCCAGGAATCCCTTGCCTCTCCAGGGTGGCGCCATGCAATGGAAGAAGAACTCTTTGCCTTAACTCATAATCATATGTGTGATCTCACCACACTTCCTCCTAGTAAGCAGGCTGTCGGTTGTAAGTGGGTATACACTGTTAAGTATTTACCTGATGGTAGTGTAGAGCGGTTAAAAAGCTAGACTGGTTGCCAAAGGGCATTCCCAAACATATGATATTGACTACACCGAGACCTTCTCTCCTGTTGCTAAAATTGGTTCAGTTCGTGTTATGATATCTCTAGCTGCTATGTATGATTGGCCTCTCTTTCAGCTTGACATCAAGAATGCTTTCTTACATGGTGATCTACTTGAGGAAGTCTATATGGAGCAACCACCGGGGTTTGTTGCTTAGTGGGAGGATGGTAAGGTGTGCAGACTAAAGAAGGCCATTTATGGACTTAAACAGTCTCCTCGTGCGTGGTTTGGTAGGTTCAGTGAAGTGGTAAAGAAGTTTGGTATGAAACAGTGTCAGGTTGACCACTCAGTCTTCAGTTATGTTTCGTAGGATGAAAAGATCTTATTGGATATGTAGATGATATTGTCATTACCGGGAGTAATAGATTGGGAATTGATAGGTTGAAGATCTTTCTGCAGGAACACTTTCAAACAAAGGACCTTGGTAAACTAAAATACTTTTTGGGGATAAAAGTAGCAAGGTCTAAACATGGCATTAATTTGTGTAAGAGGAAATATGTTCTTGATTTGTTGGAAGAAATAGGATTATTAGGTGTCAAACCAGCTGAAACAGTTATGGAATCAAATACCAAGTCGGGCAGTGATATGGGTGAAGAGTTTGAAGATCCTAGAAGGTACAGGCGGTTGGTGGGTAAACTAAACTGCCTAACCATTACTCGGCTAGATATTTCATTTGTAGTTAGAGTGGTGAGTCAGTTCATGCAGAAACCTCGGGTTCCATATTGGGATGCAATTTTAAGGATTGTAAGGTATTTGAAGGGAGCTCCTGGTCGTGGCTTGATATATAAGAGTGGAGGAAATCTCGAAATAGAGGGATATACTGATGTCGATTGGGCTGGCTCTATATTTGATAGAAGATCCGCTACAGGTTATTGTACTTTCCTTGGGGTAATCTGGTGACATAGAAAAGTAAGAAACATATAGTTGTGGCAAGAAGTAGTGCAAAAGTCGAATACAGAGCTATGGCACACACCACTTGTGAATTAGTGTGGTTGAGAAATCTTCTACAGGAGATGGGATATTCGATTGACACTCCAATGAAGCTTTATTGTGACAACCAAGCTGCAGTGCACATCTCTTCTAATCCAGTGTTTCATGAGAGAACAAAGCATATAGAAGTTGACTGTCACTTTGTGAGAGAGAAGGTGCTGAGTGGAGTGATAGATACTGCACATGTTAACAAAGGAAATCAATGGGCAGACCTGTTCACCAAAGGGTTGAGTCGGGGGAGAGTAGACTATATATGTAACAAGCTGGGACTATATGATATATACTCACCAGCTTGAGGGGGAGTGTTAATGTCGACTGTGTAGGGGTATTTTAGTCTTTATATTTATGTTTAAAGCTGCTGATGTGTAATGTTTTTGTTAGATGATGTGTCCCATACTTGAGCGGGGACAAAGTAGTCTCTTGTTATTATGGATAGAAACATATAAATTCAATCTGGCCAACTAGAGAGGAATCTAAGTTCTCTAGTTCGAACCAGAATTTCCTTCTTCTCTATTCTCCTCTCTTCTTCTTCTACTTCTTCTTCTAGTCTCTCTAATATTTCTTCCACCCTAATTCTAACAGAATTCTAGTGCAGATTAGGTTTATAATACTGTTTGATACTGTTTTCATAAACTGTATTGGTCTTTTTTATCCTTCTTTTCCCTCTCCCACCTTTTCTATTTTCAATTTTTTGGCTTTTCATTTAATGAAAATATGGGTAGTCTGAGACTCTGATTTACTCATTTACATCATTCCCTGGATGACCCTTTTCACATTATTATTAAACATTTTCTGCAGTTCTGGTACTGGTTTGCTATCAATGATGGCTGCACGGGCAATGGATTCTAGTGATGCAAAACATTATACTGGTTCCAAAGGGATATTATCCGCATGTGAGTCTTACCTTCCCATGGTTAAGCTGATGCGGAAAGTTCTGCGAATCAATAATATGGAGAAGAAGATACGAATCTTCCATAAGCGATCTGATGAACTCAAAGTTGGGCACGATCTTGCTTCACGTGCAAATATTCTAGTAAGAATTACATCTGCATTTTTCATTGAGATTTATTTATTTATTTTTGAAGTTGTATTAATCAAAAGGAAAAGGATTACAAGCGTGACTGTTCACTAAACAACAGGATTCTATACATATTAGCAACTTTCAGTCACCCCCCCCCCCAAAAAAAAAAAAAAAAATCAACATCCAAAAACGAAGAAGAATAAACATTCTGCTTGAATAGTGGATTGACACTCAGTCAGCCTCTAAGAGTCTCCACTATTATATTAATCAGCTGCTCTTCTTGAAAGGAGTTTCTGCTCAATATTCCTTTCACCCCAAATGACCCATAGAACAGCCAGAGCTAAAACCATGAAAACTGAAAATTGAGATTTATTGTCATCTTAAATTTGGTATTGTTTGCTTTTCTTGAGGCTTGACTTGAAAATCAAACAGTTTAGCCACTGCAAATTGAGAAGTTATTCTGTTTGCTTTTGATCATTTCTGTAATCAGAGATAGGGTGCATGCCATGAAAACTGAAAACTCTGCTAAAGTAGAAAGAGTAGAAATTGCATAAAGAGAGCAACACATTCTTATAGCTCAGCACATCAATTAAGTTCACTTCTCAATTGGGTATATTTGTTTATGTTCTCTACCTTGAGGAGTTAAAGAAGTGGTAGTGGATTTGAAGGCCAATTCTTTGGTCTTCCTTGTATCGCCACAATGATGTGAAGGGTTTTATTTTGTTGAACACAACAGCTCTATAAACATAAATAACTGCAGATTTTGTTTAAACAGGGAAAATGTTTATAAAGTTGACGGCCGTTGTGTAGGCCAGCCAGAGCCTGCATGGTTTACTGATCCAACAGTTTGGTTGATTGAATGTTGACCATTAGATCAGATTTTTACTGTCCTATTCTAAAGAATGTTTTTCTTTTTCTTTTTTGTGGTCAAGATCATCCATAGGAACTACTTTTTCTTTTGTTTACTTTGTATACTTTACTATTGTAAAATTTGTTTAGTTGTTATTATTGTTTTTTATCATGTCATCCTTTCTCCCTTCTGTATCTTGTTTCGTTCCCATTTTTCTTCATTTAAAATACATTCTTGTTATTATTAATGAGATTTTTCTCAAACACGAAACTGTTAGGATACATAAACAGGAAATTTTGGTTCATTTGGATGGTCCCGATTGAGGGCTAGATTGCACTTCCCTTATCATGGTTTCAATTGTTTTATTATATTCTTCTTTTCAGGTAGGATCTCATAGCTTCAGTAATTTGTAGAGAGATGCTCCAATGTTTTTTCCCATTCTGATGATTGAATGCTAGGTTGACCCTGCATCAGACAGTATGGTGATGACAAAGTTAGCTGTCACCATGTCTTAAAACACACTTTTGCAGGAATGGAGACTGAAGTGTTGCTTGAGAGAACATATTCCAGGTTTCACACCATGAATATCCTTGAGTCTTGTAATAGGCAGCTTAAATTTTGGGGGATTTAATTTAGAATATCATCACCTTGTCACTCATCTGACTTGGCTTTTTACAAGAAATGCATTTTCATTGTAATAATGCAAAGGAAATTTTGTGAATGGAAGGTAAAGTTATCAAAGGACATACACCCTCTTGACCAGAACAAAACTCATATTGTAAAAGGAGTTCAAAATGACGGATTATGCAGTTCTTAAGAGTTGGGGAGATGGTTGAACAGTTGACACAAAAGAAATATTTCCCAGCTCAGATATGCTAATGCAAAGTCTTGCAGTTCACCCTCAAAAAAATGTCAAGAGCTGTGCTGGAATGGCTAGCATATATGCCCCATTGGCCAATTTAGAGAATCCATGCATGTATTTCTTGCATGAAAGAACATCAAATTCCAGTTTTTCTGGTCAATGTTCATATGGGATCCAAGGGTAACTGTCAAATTAGATACGTTTTTTCATTTCCTATTCTGCATATTTCAGGGTCTCATATCATATGCTATCTCTTGATTATGTTATTTATTTTTAATATTTACTACATGGTATTGCCTTTTGAGTCCTTGCTTACAAGTTAATTGGACATATCTAATTTTAAATGTAGGTTAGTGAGATACTAGACTCAGAATTATTGGGTGAAGGGCTAATACCGACTCTACAACAGGCTCACGATGAGCTATTGATGGAAAATCCACAAACTGTTCCATCCCGAGCAACTATTTATGGCCAGGTGTTCAACGGTGCCTGATTTTCTTCTTCTATACTTATTTTCCTTTTGGAAGTGGACATAACATGTCAAAGACGTTTATTAACAATTCCATGTGAAGCAACTACTTGCTGCCAGGTGTTGAGCCCCACCTAAGGAACTGAGTAGCCATTTGATAACAGCTGATTTTTTTTTTTTCTTATCAGCAGGGAAATTTTATTAACTGTAAATTGAGATTAGCACAACATGATGGAAAAACCAACAAGCAACAATCCAAGAACATAAAAGTTTAAAATGATGCCCCAAATAGCTGCTGTCTCATGACCCCCTGTTTTGCTAGGGTAACAGCCATCCCATTTGCAGTTCTCACCCACTTAAATTCAACATTTAAGTCCTTTGAGATACTTTCCACTTCCCTACATGCCTAAATGTCCAGGGAACATGACAGCTGCACTCTGCCCATGAGATGATCAACTTTGAGTCCCCTTCCACGTCCAACTGTTAGAAATCTGATTGCTTTGCTAATTGTAGGCCTTGCAGCAATGCCATCAATTTGTTTTTTTCAAAGAATTTCCTACTCCAATAGGCCCTGGATACAGAACCACCACCCTGCTTTCAGAATTCCTGAATACACTACTTATACCTGCCAATCCTGGATTTCCCATAGAACTCCCATCAAAGTTCAGTTTTAACTTGTTAACTTCTGGAGGTTTCCATTCCATGATTATCCTGTCTATTTTCTTTAGAGGACTGTGCCGCCTCCATCCAAGATCTTACTATTTCATTCGAAGGGAAGACTTGAAAGGTTTCCACTGTCTCTACCCAATGTGTGATCTTTATGCATTACAGCTGCAGTTGCCGAACCGAAAAGTTTATTACTTTGTCCTTTATGGTGAATACATTTTTAAGGAGGTTGTGCACTAATGGCTGAAGCTGAAGCTGCGTAGATTACTATACCCTTGAATATTTTATTACTTAATTATTTTATCCACCAAAAAATAAAGCAATAGGTCGTTCAATTCAGCAACTTCAGATGTTAACAAATGGCCCCTTGGTAGCTATGTCAGATTGTACTGTTGAACTTTCTTTTGGTCAAACTTTTTTGGAAAAAAACCCGATTTTATTCTTTATCTTTGTGAAAATTTTCATGGAACATAGATGTTTATATTTGTGTTTTCTTTCTTGAATATATGAATTAAGCTGTTATGAAGTATTAGAAATGCATTTGCATACCTAATTTATTACGATTGTATTGGTAGAACGAAAAAGGGCTAATCTTTCCTATATAGTAAAGTAGTATCAGCAGGTAAATGTAGAGTGAAATACTTTCCAATAAATGAAGTGGTGCGTGATACTGTCTAGGTGTGTAGGCTCTATTTAATTTTACCGAGTTGACTGTCACAAAGAAGGGGTCCTTTTATGAATTATGACAGGCAGATTCAGGGGGCTGTTAGGGGGAACATGTTCTGGGCAGTGTTGTGACTTGGTGATTGTATCTCAAACCCTACTCTAGGGGTGACAGTTGTATTTTTAAGTTTTGTTTAATGAAGCTACCGTTTTCGATAAAAAGAAAAATTATGACAGTCAGATTCACTCTACCTGTCTAAGGGCATGTGATGTGTGCACTTGTGCATATCAGCATATACCTATGTGTTCTTGTACAAGTCCATGTTACATTTATTTTTGTTTGGTGTCTTATTCCCAAGGTTTAAAATATTCATATCGGTGGAAACACCAATCATCCAAGTACAGAAACATGCCAGAAATGGTGGGATGTTGAAATGTTGTATGTAAATATTGTGAGAATTACATGGTGGAAACATTATGAAATATGCAAAAATTATACAATGATATTTTATGAAATGATAAGAGAAGCATAATTATTATCTTGCTCTAAACCATCAAATAAAAGCCAAGAAATGAAGGTTAATAGACAAGAGAATATGCTGCAAAGTTCTGTGGACTTTAAGAGTTTAAACTAATCTATACAATACAGTAAGTTCAAGCGAATTGAACTTACAAAATGTGCAAATACTTCTAATAGATCAACCAAATAATCTATTACACAAATAAAAACTACGGTTTAACATCACATCCAAAAATAATTTTGGACCAGGGGTCATCATCACGTTATAATACAATATTGTGTACTCCTTCACATAGCATTATTAGTTTTTCATTAGGGAGTATGCCAATTCTTTAGTAATGTTTTGTGTCAGTACCCATGTAAATGGAAATATGTTTTTTTTTTTTTTTTGATAATTGATGGAAATGGAAATATGTTGTGGAATTAGGAAATATGTCAACATTTTAAACTATGCTAATGCTTATTCCAAGGTTTCTTTCACTATTTCTTCCCTTTATTACTTATAAGCAACCTTTAAGTTAGGAGACTTACAATTAGTGCCAGACCTTTAAGAGGGGTAGGATAATGTGGAGGTGTGTCAGGGCAGCATTGGTCTGGACGACTTGGGAGGAGAGAAATGCAAGAATTTTCACTGAGAATGCAGTGTTGGATTGTGTTGTGAACAGAGTTAGACATTGGGTTACCACTTTTCTTTTGGTGATATTTGGAAGAATTGGGAAGCTGTAGCAAAGGGTTCAGCCAACAAGGAAAAGGCTCCCTCAGCTTGGGTTGGGTACCACCTGAAGAAGGTTTTATAAAACTCAACTTTGATGGAAGCAGTCTAGGTAACCCGGTAGTTTTGGGAATTAGGGGGAGTTTACAGAAATAAAGACTGGCATATTATTTCTTTATACTTGGATGCAGCAGGAATAGGGGACTCCGTTAAAGCTGAGTTCCAAGCAGTGTTGCAAAGGGTACAGATAGCTAGAGATTTGAATTTTGACAGAGTACTCATTGAAGGGGATTCCAAGCTGGTAGTTGGTTGGTTGAAGGAGACAGACACAATAATATGGACTTACAGGGAAGCTATCAAGAGATTTAAGTGGATGACTACAAATATGGCTGTAAGGATTCAATAGGAAAGGAGACCGGCAAATGGGATGGCAGACTATTTAGCTAAGAAAGGGGTGACTAGGTATCATATGCGTTGGGCTCAATTGTAATATATCTTATGCAATTGAGGCTGCATCTCACACATCTGGTTGGGAAGTTTTAATTGTATATTACTTTGTTTTGATTAAATTAATAAAATTTCTATTACTTTTCAAAAAACAGGCGAGAACTTTATTTTTTATGTTCCTTTTATTCGTCATTTTTTGTTCCTGTTATGCTTGAACATCTATTCTTTATGATTTATATTAGTTTGTAGTAAAGTAGTTTTTTTAATACATTTTTTGGTGTTGAGAGAGGATTATTCTAATGATATCAAGGCTGAATTACATTTCATCTTTTGATGCTTCAGCTGGTTGAAAGTACATTCTTATGGAAACTGCATGATTTATACAATAATGAAGCAAAAGCATTGGATAATGTACATCTTGTTCCAGCTGAATTGGAGAGAATTTTAAGAGTCAAACCACAACAATATGCTATGCATTGTGATGCAATAGCAGAAGAGATAAGATTGGTATGAGCTTGAATTTTCCATTAAAAAGTAATTAGTTCCTTAGCATAAAAGTGGTCTAATTTCTATTCAATTTAGTGTTTATCCAGTTGTCAGATCCATTCAAAGTTTTTGAATTTGACTTTTCAAAACGACCAGAAAGTCATGGACAAACTGAACTACACATAAAGGCAACTAGTGATGGTAGAGTTCATGCTATAGTTTCCTGGTAAATATATTGTCCAGTAATAATAGTCCTCTACCACAAGTTTTCCCAAAGCAATTTAGTTTCACACAATTATTTTGCTCTTGTCTTCTCAGGTGGGTACTTCAGCTTGATTACGAGGGGACGATCTTCTATTCAACTGCCCCTCGGTGGATAAACTTGCCTTTCAACTGTGAAGATTTGCAAACACAATCTCATAGTGAGTGGTCATACTCGTTCTATCTACATCCAAAACAAATTAAAAAAGGAAAAAGAAAATAAGGCTTCTAATTAAGAAAAGAGCCTTTGGATTATTATTTTTTTGATAAATAAATTCATTTCCATTAAAATAATGATTGGATACAAGAAAATCCCCTTAAAGGTGCGAGATGCCGCCTCTCCTAACAGCAAATAAAAGAACTATAACAGAATTACATGAGTTTTGATGTTAAAGCAAGAGTTACAGTTGTGCCCAGAACAATGTTTCCCTATTTACCCCTTGTTTGGCCAAGGCAAGAGCCTTTGGATTATTAAATATGATCCGTTTGCTCTTTCCTTGGCATAGGTTTTGAAGATTTTGAATTATTAAATGCATGTCACAGTGGACTAATGAGGCTTTCCTCTTTTTTTTTTGCAGATTGGTGTGACCATTGGAAACAGTGTGTTTGGTTCATACCAGGGATAGGAATTTTGGTATCCAAGGATGAGCAGGTTGATTTTCAAGCAGTTCATAATGATATTAGTATCTCATACAATCTCAAGCATGGGGACTCAAAATTGGAACAAGGGTATCCTGACTTTCATACCAGAGGTTGTCAACTTATACTATCACCAGAAAGAATTGCTATATATGGAGACAGAGAATGGAGATATGATATGCTAAGAGCTGTGATGAATGCAGTAAGAAATTATCACTTTTTTTTTCATTTGATAACATTTGATTTTACCAAAGATGAAGTGTACAATGGTTGGTGTAAGCCAAGGGAAAATTGTAAAGAGATAAAATAACAATAAGAACCACAATGATATATTCAATCATTCTTTTTCGAAATCATGTACCAACCTAGGTGTCCAATGTATATGCAAAAGCATAAACCTCCAATTCCTTTTTGATCATATTAACACTGGTGAATGCCAATCAAACAGGATTTTATTGATAAAGAAAAATCCCTGCTATTCAAATCAAACACCAGAGAACAGATAAGAGAAAAAACAGTTTGAAACTGATAGGAAAAAAATCTGTAACTCAACATAAGAACCAGTCTTGTAAATGAACCCCTGGCCCCAGGACTCTCCATGCCATAATAGGTCATACCTTAAAAGTTTTTCTCTTTTGAGACCATTATCTAAAGAGTTTGCTGATCTAGGTGTCCAGATGAATCTGATGTTCAATGAAACAACTAACACTTTGGCCTCTCTAATTAAAAATCTAAAAGCCAAGGTCCCATAAGACTACCCAACAATACACTCAATAACAACTTGGTAGTCACCCTCTCTACTAAGACATTATTCCAACCGAATGAGAAAGCCAGTTTTAGTCCTTGCAGGTGAGCTAGCAATTTTGCTCTAAGAGAGGTACCTTCTCTGATTGGGCCTGAAAAGGTCAACAGAATGTTACCGGCACCTTCTATAAAGACCATTCAAATACTAGAGGTACCCACTTTTCCCAAAGGTTGCCCATCAAAGTTTACACTCTCATTGCAAGCACTCCAAGTTAGAGCCCCTCTAAATGGGCTACATGCCTCCCCTTGAATTCCTTGGTAGAATCCAATTTGCAATTCTAACTGATAGTAGATCAATAAGAATATGCAATTTTTGCTCCAAGTTTTTAAATGTTCTTGAATTTCTTTCATTCAAAAACACTCCAAAGAATTGGTGGGAGCGGATTTAAAAATGATTGTGTGTGGCTCAAGAACAATAGTGTGGGGTTCTGGAAATACAGGCATATTCTGAGAGAAATCAGACATTTAACCAAAGAAATAGGAGCTAGCTTTCTTTGGATTCAAAGATTGGCTAATTATGACAGATGAGTTGACCTAGCAAGGGGCTAACAGGACACAATTGTATTGGGGGAGGGTCATTCTCGGAATGATGACATGATGCATCTAAGGCAACAAATAAAGGCATAGGGGAGAATGAGTTAGGTAGTAGGGCTAGCCTAGAACTTAGTGTGATATTTGGTATACTCCATTTTACATATCAGATGAATATTCAGTTACTGATCAATAAAAGGGAAATGACCCCGTCACTTTCATGGTATCTTAGACTCCTTGTAAAGCCAAAATCTCAATCTTGAGAAATAAGTAAAAGGAGAAGCAGTTTGTTCAGTCTTGAGAAAGGTGAGAAATAAAAAAAAAAGTCTTGGGAAAGGTTGTCACAACTCACAAAGTTTAGTCTCTCCTCCACCAATCCTCCAATAACTTGATCTTTCGGCCATAGACTGGTCATACATGCCATGCTCAGAAAAGAAAGGTAGGATAGCCTTAATGGCTTTCCAAGGGCATCACATTAACACTTTGGAAGCTGAACCAGAATCCCATCAATTCACGTCTCACATTGCCTTCCATTCTTGATAGTCAAATCACCTTCCCATGTTAAGAACAACTCCATGGATATATCCTTATCTTTCACAATATCTTAACCCCTTTTCCTGAAGAGCATTAATTCATACATCACAAGAAATCAATCTATCCTTTAATATGGTCAATACAACGTTCCACAAATTACAGTTAATCAAGGAGGAGCTGAAGGGGAGAAGGAAAGAAGTGGTTGGGGAAGAGGAGAATAGAAAGAAGGAAGTGTTGGAGAAATTATCAAAGCTGGACAGGTTACTAGAAGATGGGGATGGCAAGAGAGAAGTTCAGGTGGAAAGGCCAGTTTTGGAGAAAGAGTTAGAAAGTCTAATTTTAAGGGAGGAAATTAGATGGAGACAAAAATCCAGGTTTAATTGGCTAAAAGGAGATAACAACTCTGCCTTTTTCCATGCTTTTGCAAGTGGCAGAAGAAGGATAAATCTGATAACAAGAATCCAAGTGGGTGGAAACTTGGGGAGAGATTCAAGAGACGGTGGTGGACTTTTACGAGGCTGTATTCAGGTAGACAATGGAGCTGGGTGTCATTGGGCGGCTAGAAAGGTGGTTTGAAAAAGAAGTTAGGGAAGCTTTGAAGAGGTTAAACGGGGACAAGGCGCCTGGACCTGATGGTTTTAACTTTAACTTTATTAAAATTGTTGGAAAACGTGGGGTTACTGGTGCAGATCTATATTTGGTAGTTGTGTAAAAATAGAATTGTATATATTCCTAGGATTGTGGAAGGATTGATTTATAAAGTTTTTCTTTCTATTTCTTTCTTTCTATTCTTGTACTTTCTATTTTCTTTTCTTTCTATTTATTGCAGCAACTTACTGTATAAATATGCCGATTGGAAATAGAATGAAATACATCAGTATTCTACCATTCCAAAACATGGTATCAAAGCTCTAGGTTTGTCACCCTTGAGATTTTTTCGGCCTTCATTGCCAGTTTTTCTCTTCTGGCCTTCAGTGTTGATCTGTAACCAGAAGTGGTCATTTATTCTCCTTTATTCCGGCCAGTTCTTCCCTCCTTTATTCTCCTTTCCTGYTGGCCTTATTTTTCCTCCATTAACAATGTCCGACATGACTGCAACAAGTGCTCCCGTCCAAACCGATGAAGGAGCAACAAATTCTCATCCTCACACTGGTGATTTGCAGAATATTCAGACAACATATAGACTAAATGGCCAGAACTACTTGAAGTGGTCACAACTAGTGCGTACCTATTTGAAGGGAAAAGGAAAAATTAGTCACCTTCTTGTAACAGAGCCAAAGTTGGGCGAGCCAAATTTTGATGCTTGGGACGAAGAGGACTCCATGATTATGTCATGGTTGTGGAGTTCAATGACACCCGAGATCAGTGATACTTGTATGTTTCTTCCCTCTGCAAAGGCTATTTGGGATGCTGTTCGACAAACCTATTCCAAAGCCTATGACACTGCTCGTGTCTATGAGGTCAAAGTGAAGACAATGGCGGTCAAACAAGGGAGTAGAAGTGTTACATAGTATGCAAATTTGCTGCAAAATTTATGGCATGAGCTTGATCATTATTGGGTTCTTGAGACAAAGTGCCCTGATGATGCTGTGATCTTGAAGAATTTTATTGAAAGAGATAGGGTGTATGATTTTTTGGTCGGACTGAATGCTGAATTTGATCAGGTCCGAATACAAATTCTTGGCAAAGAAGAAGTGCCTCCATTGA